TCAATTTTAGAATTTCGTATAAAATAAAATCAATTCAAGAAAATCCTGTATTTAAATGCTATTTAATATTCATAATTACAAAAAAAAATTTGAATAAATTTTATAAGAATCTATATATTTTTTTGATAAAATTAAATGATTGCAATAAAAGTAAAAAATCAAACTTAAATAAAAAAATCTAATTTAGAAAACCAAAACATTAAATATTACTGTAAACAGTTGACTAAAGTACCTCCTATAGTATAATACTCTTTCTATAAATCTGATTTAAAAGACCCGGGTATTATACATAAGGACATTGAAAAAAAGTTGTGAAAATTTGTATAATACTCGGGGGTATTATATACCAATTGTTTTTTATATAGCATTTATATCAATAGTAAAAAATATCAAAATTTATTATAAAATCAAAAAAAAAAATACATCAAATTAATCTATGAATCATATTCATTATTATAATCTATTCCTTGATTTTCATATTCATTTATATCATCTGTATTACTATCATGACTATCTTCTTCTTTACCATTACTCTGATTTTCTTCATTATCAATATGAATTAGCTCAGTTTTTTTACTTTTTTCTTTTGCAAACTATTATAATCAAATACCTAATCATCTTCACTACTATCTCTAGCAATAGAAATACCACAAATTTAAATAACTTTTGAATCAAATTAATATCAATACTATCCCATGATCTTTTTATCCAACTAGCAACATTAGCATATGAAGGTTTTTTGATTATTTTAGAAAGTTATAATTCACGAACCTCAAAACTCATCTAATCATTATAATATTGACGTAAATTGGCTTTAAAGCTTTTATTAATTGCTGCATGTAATGGTTGTAATTTACTTGTAAGCCTACCAAAAATAACTGCAATATTTGTTTGTTTTTCATTAAACTTATTTTTTACTGAATCCATAAGATGTTCTCGAAAAGAATCTAAAACTAATAAAGATCTTGAATTATTTAATAAATTTCTTCGAGTCTATAAATTCTTAATCCACCAGAGTATTTCTTGTTCATTACACCATCCTTTATCATTTACACGAATAAAATTCCTTCAGGAAATAATTCTCTTGAAATATTTTTAAGTTTGAAAATACAAAATGCTAGTAATTTCATATCATCAGCCATGTATCCTAAAATAACTGTAAAATTTAACTTTTCATGACCTGTTATTTGTATATTAATAGTTGAAGTACCATGATGATCCAAAGTAGTTGAATAAGGTAAATCAAATGTAACAGGAGTTTCATTCATATTACCAATATATTTTAATAGATAGTCATATTGAATGTGCCTGTATAAAATAAAGGCTAAAAAGTTTTGCTGCTTTTCTAAAAGATTTTCAGGAAGATGTTGAGCAATATGAGTTTTTCTTCTTGTAGTAAAATTATATCTTTTCAAAAATTCCTCTAACCATGCTTCTGAAAATTTAAACTCTTTAATATCTACATAAAGATCTATCCATTTTTATTTATGAGCAAATAATTTTGCTTTTCTAACTACCATATTTTGCATAACAGCTTTTGCAGCTTTACGCAAATCAATCATCCATAAAGAAAGCTCTTTTCCATGTTCTAAAAAAGCTGTACTTTTGACTTTATGTAATTTTTGAATATATTGTGCTACACTTTCAAGTTTGGTTTTTTGATTCATCTAGTCTCGAACTTGCTTCAATTCTATTTGAAATTATTTTGCAGTTAAATGCTTACTTTCATATTGTTCTGCATGTTTTATTACAAGTAATTTTTCTCTAACATACCATTGTCTTCTTTGTTTAAGTGTTTATTCTTATTCTTTTATTAGCAGGTTTATTTCAGTGAACAATCAAAAACAAAGTTAAAATGCGAAACAAAAAAAAAAGGTTTTAAAATGCGTTTTATAATATATCATTTCGATTATAAAATGATTGGTGATAAATGTTAAAATAATCGTAAATTCTTAAAAAAAAAAAATAAAATAAAATAAAATAAAATTTTGCTTTAAAAAAAAATAAAATTTTGTTTAAAAAAAAATATCGTTAAAAAAAACTTTTTAAAACTAAGTCACACTATATGTATGCAAATATTTAAATTTTTTATTGGTTAATTTAATTTCAAATCGTAAACCTTATATGGTATAACGTAATACCTTCCCTTAGACTAAATTATCTTTCATAGTATAGTATCCCTCTAACTTCACGAATTTGTAAAATACTTGGGTACTTTAGTCAACTGTTTATAATACTATTTGTTAATTTTATTATATATTAATTTATAAAATATATTAACTGTGCTAACTGTATTAATCATTGTACTTATATATTTTTCATAATATGTATAAATTTACTAATAAACATAATTCCCAACATTACACAATTACCTAATATAATCGAAATTTTAAATTTAACTATAACTGTCATTATCTTCAAAAAATGTCTAATAATTAATATAGCAGCTAGAGATATTTGTGGTATATGTTTATTTTTCAGTCTAGATGGTAGTTTTATTTTTTCTTTATTTCAGAAATTTTTGGGAAAAAGAGAGAAAAAAAGTTTTTTTTTTAAACTATGAATATTTAAGATGCATCAATTATAAAGTTTCATTTTATGTAATACTTTATAATGATGTTTGCATAATGTTTGTAATGATATTTGCATAACGTTAGGTCATGCAACATTTTATGATTATAAATCATTAATTAATTATAATTATAATTTTATTTTTATTTTTAGAAATATGATTTTTATTAATTCTTTTAATTGGATTTGGTCTGAATAACCAAAACTCGAAATCCTGACAAAATACAAACCCGAATGCTAAAACCTCAAATTACACAAAATTTGGAATGTTCAAAATACTGAATATCTTATTAGCCTGAAAAAATGAATAACTGAAAGTAATGATATACCAAAGGTCATCTAATCCTGAAAAAATAAATCCTGAACGTAAATAACTTAAAAAAATAATTGTCTAGAAAATTCTGTTATTTATTATATTAAATGCAATTGGAGAAAACTTAACTGATTCTAAACCTGACCCTAAAACTAACCCTAAACTAATCCTAAACTAATCATAAACAAATTCTAAACTAACCTAAGTCCCTAAACTTACCCTAATTTAAATCACACTTCGGCATTATATTATTTTGGGATTTCATAAATTTCTGGATATTGATAATTTTGGGAAACTGTATTTTTCGGTAAAATGTGATATTCGGGATTTCATAATTTTGGAAAAATGTTATATTCAGGTAATAGTAATTTCAAAAATCTTATATTTGAATATATATCATTTCGGGATTTTGAGTTTCGTCATTTAATATGGAATCCTTTTAATCATTTGTCTAGCAATCTCATCTAAATAGTTATTAGAATGTATTTCTAAAAAAAAAATTATGTTTTAATAACATAATATATAAATTAAAAAATTTTACCTTCATATCAGATCTATTAAAAATCTTTCTTCTATCAGCCTATCTAAGGTTGCTTGTCTAAACTCATTTTGGATTTGGCTAAACATTTAAACCTTTAGTTTTGCTAAATTTTTACTAAGTATTTGATATAGTTTCGTTATTTTTATAAGCTTTGATATAGTTTTACCTTTTATGAATTTTGCAGATTTTTTAATAAAATTTTAATATAATTTAATCAAGTTATACCTTTACATTTAGAAGTCTATCTAAACTCTTGATTTCGCCAAGCAACTTTAAGCCTTTCCTTTCAATAAGTTTATAATTCTACTTATTAATTTTTTCTATTTTATCTATTTCATTATCATCATTGTTCTCATCATCATCATCATTTTATCAACATATTATTATTTATTTCTCCAGAATTTTCAGCTAAATGATTAGAATTAGTTAACCTTGATGCTTGATTTGGTTTGGTATTCGATTTGTAATTTATTGGTAGATTTGCTGAAATAGTCTTATTTGAGATTTTTTAAACTTGTCAATCAAGTTATTATTATATGTTAAACATAAACTATATTTAAATTTTTGAGAAAAATCCATTTCATATGAATAAATTCTATTAGCTTCACTTAATTCAGACAGTTGTAACTCATTATAAACCTTGTGTTTGTATTTAAATCATACACTCTGGAGTAGCTTTTTCTTTTTTTTTTGTATTTCTTATTTATTTACTCAAATCACATTGACAATTTTTAAAAATAATAGTTAATTATAATTCAAACATATTTGACACAAAAAACAAGTGCCAACTTTTACATTCTTGAGTAGGGTAGGCATTACATGAACGCGATACAAAGATCTTACAAGATTTTGTGTTATTTGTGATCGGCTAATTATCTATAACGTGATTTTTGTGTTTCGATCATCACGCATAATAATAATAAGTTAGTTTTAGGTCAATTAAGGCAAGAAATCACGTGTCCGAGCCTTTTTACCAATTGAATCTCAAGTCACAGTATTTTAAAAATATATATTTACTTTATGAGGTCTAAGTTTCATGGAATGAATATCCTAGAAATATGTTGGATTCATTATGTCTTCAAAATTTAAATTAGCAGCTTATAATAACAAATATGAATACTCTAAACGGATAAATCCATATTAAAACAAATTTACTTGAAGTTTGCCGCAGTATCAAAACAGAGCTTACGAATTTAACTTTGGAATTGCAGTATTCGGAAGTTCTAGCCATTATTCTATTTAGTGAATCTATAACAATTGATATGAAACTTTAATATCCGTAACTATACTGTATAGCAAATAATGTAACAGTTTTTTTTTGATTGACGATCATATTATGCAAAACACCCCTTTTTGTTGCATGATCTAATGCTATACAAAAAAAAAAAAAAAAATAAATAAATATAAATTTTGCTTTGTTTATAACGTAGTGTAACATTAACGGTAATTTGTGATTTTCCTTATAAATGATTATAATGAATTATCATAATTTTTAAACGTTCTCATTTTGACGAACTATAAATTTAATCACCTAAACCAATTTTTTTTATTTTAATTTAATAATAAATAGAATTCATGGCGTGTGAAAAATATAAATTACTTAACCTTTTCATTTTCATATTAAGCTATTTATTCTTTAAAGTAGGGTCATTCACTCCTGAGGGACGTTTAGCTCATTCTACTGTCCTTGTTGAGAATAAACTGTATTTTTTTGGCGGATATGTTGATAATGCTAATACTTGCACAAATCAAGTGTTCTATCTCGATTTATCTCAGTCATTTATTTTAACTGCTCCTCCATGGGTATCTCTTACGCAAAATGCCGGAATACCGTTCAAAAGTTGCTGGGGAACTGCATTATTGAATGATAAGGAACAAACTATTAATTTATTCGGTGGATTAATGCGTAACGATATGAGACAAGATGCTTTTGTATCAAATGTTCATTCATTTAATTTAAATTCTTTATCTTGGAATGTACCTAATGTCAAAGGAACTCCACCAGAAAGACGCAGAAATATAAATGGGGTTATTGATAATACCGGAAAAATATATATTTTTGGTGGATATGTGGATGAGACTTTAGGCTCAGCAACACTAATACGTTACAATGATATGGTCATCCTAAATACAGCTGAATTATCATGGGTAATCATTCCAGCTAGTAAACCGTATGCGCAAAGTTCATATACTGCAACAATGTTATCTAATGGAGTTATTGTATATATTGGTGGTCTTGAATCACTTGAAGACACTGCAACAATAGTTGACATTAAAAACATTAACCTTTTTGATACAAATACCTTAACTTGGTCAGTAAAAGTATGTATAAAGATAATAATATTTAATAAAATAATAGTTAGAATTTAATGTTGATATCAATTTATTTATTTATAGATTGCAACAGCTTCAAATATAATTCAAAATCGTTTTAGACATACTGCAGTCTTAGGTATATTTTAATGATTTAATGTTATATAATATTTAATTCTATTAATTTATTTGTCACTTTTTGTAGCTCCAGATGGTAAAAAAATCATTATTTATGGTGGTGCTAAAAGTATAAATGATGCGCAAGTTGTTCCAGATTTGTTTGTTTTAAATATGGAAACCGAACAATTTGAATTTATGGTGCCACCAGTTAATGGACAGCTTCCACCATCACTTACAGCTCATACAGCTGATATTGTTGGAAATTATATGGTTGTTGCTTTTGGTAAGTAAAAATAATTTACATTCCTTTATTAAAATATTTATTTCAATAATTTATTTAATGCATTTCGATAGGAAATATAACACAACCAAATGCCAGTCCATTACCATTAAAAAATTCTAATATTTACATAATGGATATTAGAAATTATACGTGGGTTAATTCATTTGAGGTAGCAAGTGCAAATATAACGACAAATCCTGACCCAACAACAAATTCATCGCCAACTATTGTTGTTGCAAATAATTCTAATAGTGACTTGGTAACAATGAAAATTATAATCGCAGCTATTGGAGGAACTGTAGGCGCCGTTATAATTATTGCATGTGGATTTTTATTTTATAGATGGAATAGAAGTAGGAATGAACAACGTGGATTCATTAATGGGGAACAACATAATTTACCTGGAAGTATTGTTGAGAATAATTATAATAATTATATAGCGTAATAACCTAATCATACATTAACTTTTATTTTTTAAATTTTGCAATGAATAATTTTTTTTTAATTAATACATTTCTCAAATTATTACTATTAAATTGATTTAGTACTTAGTATGTTTGAAAGTATTTGAATTTTGCTGTGTATCTTAGGGCAATTACAAATATTATTATTTCAAGATGGAAAATTTAAAGCTGGAAGGTGTTCGTTAATTTTTCTATAAATAATATTTTTGCAATGCATTCTATTAAAATAATAGATTTGACTTACCATTATTTTTATATTAATTGGAAAGAATGAGCTTAATATAATGATCGCTAAGCAACACAAGTTTAAATAACTACTTTTCATATGTTGTTTAGATAAATTTTTTAAAAAAAGGTAAAATATTTTTAAAAATGAAAAGTTAATAATAGTTAAATAATTTTGTACCATTTAATTCCGAATCGTTGCGAGTCTTTGTGATTGGCTGACGGATTTCTAATATCTAATAAAAACACATATTACACTTTTAACCCTTCATCTTGTCTTCATATAGACTCCGCTTGTGATAACCTACGTTATTAATGATATATTACCAGAATAAAGGATTCCGGAATATCGTATTACATTGCAGATGGTGATTTCAATCCCAGGGTTAACACTGGTCGAATTTCGGTTTATGTAAATTATGCCCGAATATTTTTATAAATAGATTTCCAATTTTGCAAAAAAAAAAAAAATCCATTTTTTATCTCATTATGACAATGATGTTCTCCTAGTGTTTGAGATGCAGTGTAACATTGTTAAGTTTTTTCAAACAAAGGATATGAATATTTATTTATTCTTAAGAGTTTATTCATTTACACCTGAAGGACGTTCGGCTCATTCTACTGTCCTTATTGACAATAAGCTGTATTTTCTTTGGAGGATTTGTTGAAAATGCTAAGGCTTGTACAAACCAAGTGTTTTATCTCGATTTATCTCAATCTTTTGATCTGATTGCTCCACCATGGATTTCACTTACGCAAAATGCCGGAATACCATTCAAAAGTTGCCGGGGAACTGCTTTATTGAATGAAAAGGAACAAACTATATATTTATTCGGTGGATTAATGCGCAATAATTTAAATAAAGATGAATTTGTATCAAACGTACATTCATTAAATTTAAAATCCTTATCGTGGAATGTGCCTAATATTGAAGGAACCCACCTGGAAGGCGCAGAAGTATGAAGGAAAATATATATTGTTGGTGGATTTACTGGACCTACGTTAGGTTCACAAACAATTATACGTTACAATGATATGGCCGTCCTAGATACAGCTGAATTATCATGGTTAATCATTCCAGCTAGTAAACCGTATGCTGCAAATTCTTATACCGCAACATTATTGTCTAATGGAGTTATTGTATATATTGGTAGTACAGAGACTCGAGAAGCTACTGCAACATCGATTGACATTAAAATCAAATCATTAACCTTTTTGATACAAAGACCTTAACTTGGTCAGTGAAAGTATGTATTAACATTACAAGATTTAATAAAATTATGAATAAAATTTAAATTAGTTAATATCAATTTATTTTTATAGATTGCAATAGCTTCAAATAAAATTCAAATCGTTTTAGTCATACAGCGGTTTTAGGTATTTAATAATTAATTAATATTTCAATATTATTTCAATATATTTAATAATTAGCTTTTTCTCTCTTAAAATAGCTCCAGGTGATAAAATCATTGTTTATGGTGGTTCTAAGGTAGCAGTAATTTACAAGTTCTTCCAGATTTGTTTTTTTTGAAATATGGAATCAGAACAATTTGAGTTGACGGTGCCAAAAGTTAATTCAAATGTTGGTCAGGTTCCATCTCTTACTGGCCATTCAGCTAATCTGGTTGGAAATTATATGATTGTAGCTTTAATGTATTTCGATAGGAAATATTCCACAACCAAATGCCGATCTATTGCCAATAAAGAATTCTAATATTTATATAATGGATATTAGAAACTATTCGTGGGTTGATTCATTTGAAATAACAAGTGCAAATGAAACGACTAAATCTAACTCATCAATACCACAATAATCACCAGTTAATGTTGTTGCAAATAATTCTAATAGTACAATTAAAATTATATCCGCATCAATTGGAGGAACTGTGGGCGCAGTTATAATAATTGCTTGTGGATTTTTAATTTATAGATGGAATAAAAATAGGATTGAGCTAGATCAAGGAGAACAATAATTCATCATAGTAGTTATATTATATAATAATATCATTTATATAAATAAATATTTATTCAGTAAAAAATTTAAATATTAAATTATCATGTATGAGAATAAATTTCTTAGTTCAAGGTTTATTATTATTGTCGCTTTCAATATTGAGACAAAATGCTTATTTTCGGCTAAATTTTGAAAAATTAAAAAAATTCAAAATTATTTGTAGTGCAGATTTTACATTAACATAAATGCTATTCATTTAACATTTATTTCACATATCAAACGAAAGCATATTGTCAAACAAAAGCTTCTAACCGTTAGGTTTCAAAACGTACTTGTTTTTCATATTCTGTTGGATAAAAGAAGCAATAGTTAATTATGCGAAGCAGTATGGAAGAAAGCGTATTCATTGAATAATGAAATGATGAAAATAGAATTTTCAGATTGAGATGGATGATAATGATAATTGTGTGATGGCGATAGAGTAAAATAATATTAATAATTTAATTGTCTTCGCAAATCGTTTTTTTAATTGGTATGCTTATTTTCAGTTGATATATAATTCAGTAGGTCGGGATGTGTTTATTTTCGGGATTAATAATCTGAATGTTTAGTATTTTGAAAGTAGGACAATTATAAATCACAATGCCAAAAAAAAAAATTTTTAAATGATAGATACATAATGTTTCAATTATGAAAAATTCTTCAATGAGTAAAATGCTTTTCTAAAGAGTATATCAGTTGTGAAATTCCAATGCTTTGGGAATGCAGTAAAACTATCAAAAAAATGTTCTTTTTGATCTATCAAAAATCTCCATTCATGATGTTTTTATTACACAATAAAAAACTAAATATTTCAGTAGCCATGAAAAATGTATTTCTGGGAATACGAAAATAATCATCAATTTTACCTTGCTCAGAATCTCGCGAAATAAAAGAGTTAGAATGTGTCTTTCTAGTTCTTATCATAACAGACGAACTCTACATCCTTGAAAATATTCTGAAGGACATTCATGATTTCTAGTATTCAAAGAGGGACTTGGCGCCCATATTGGGTAGGTATACATGAGAAACTTGATATTGTATATACAAAAGAATTAGCATGTAGCAGAAATGGAGAGAGATATTTACATCAATTATAAAACACATCTACGCTGGAGATGTTCTCAATCACATGAATGGTTTGCTTCCATCAGTGATATTAAAAATCTCTTGGTGTCCGCATTGTTGTCAGATTCTTATATTAATTGTAAAAGTCTGTAACACTGGAGATGCAATAAAACCGGTTAAAGAATTTTTAACTGGTTATTAACCAGTTAAGAATTTTTAGGGCAGTTCCAACCTACTTTGTAAGACGTCGTTTCTTGTCTGAATCTTCGACAAATACCTCAGTCATCATCATACTTTTCTCCACCCTAGATAAATTCGGAAATAAATAAAATATAACAAGAAAAAAAAACTCCAGTCTAAGAGACTAAGACATACCAGTTGAACTTTACCAGTTCAAATACATATTCGATATACTTGAATGGAAGAGAAACCTGTACTAATATAAATTTTCTTTCGGATGCGTGCCTTTCAATAGTGTGATATTTTGCACAACGAATCATGGTATGACTTAGAATGATTATATCGCGTCAGATTTTCTTTCAACTGCATTAATAGTTGTTAAATACTTTCGATTAATGTACCCGAAAGACAATACGCAAGCCATCTTCATATTCATTAACATCCTTCAATGGCAATTCACCTTTTATCAAACTTATCTACAAAGAATTATCAGCTTAAGTTCAAAACTTCAAAATATCATTTCATTACAATACGCATAGCAAGAACAATGCGCAGCCATGTGACCAGTGATACCGGCAAGCTGACTAGCTTGACATGGTCACATGAATGACGCTTTATTTCTTTGACAATGTCTTCGTGTTGAACTTCAAGATTCGATATATGCGATTTCAACCCTGGTACTTATGTCAGCGCGACTGCAACCGAAGAGAAAAAGCAATTAATGATACTGCATAAGCCGCTATGAACTACAGGATACATTCTTTGCTATTGTCTCTTTTGTCAGGAGCTGTTTGTGTGGTGTGTTTGTTAAAAATGAGATACGTGGACGCCTGGCGACCCATCGGATTTAACCATATTTTTTTTTCAATTCATTAGGTTCATTCTGTTCAACTCACTCTCATGCTTATTGAAGTGATTAAACTATCTAGACTCCAAGACACCATGATTAAATTTACTCGCATAGATTTGATTCTCTTATGTTGCTTGTAATAGTCTTATAACTTATTTTGCAGTAAAATAATTTCGTGTGTAAGCTCTATTAGATTAAATAGCAATAATATTTCTCGTGAAAATCCGTTAACTTCTTCTTTTAATTCGACTTCAACAGATCTCAAAATTTATTCTAAAAATCCTCATTTCGACGTTCTCGCTATGTAATTTTTAGTTTTAATCGTAGGTTATTACAGATAATAAAGTGTTTACGCCACGACGATCGTCACTCATCAGATCATAAACGGTGCATCAAGCAGAATTCCCACGTTGTCGCAGTTGATAGTACAATTAAAGTACCCAATTAAAGTAATCTTATTACTAAAAACTAGCCGTCCACGAAAATCGTCACTCATCAGATCATAAACAGTGCATCAAGCAGTATTCCCTCGTAGTCGTAGATATCTAAACCAACTAAACCATTGTTCATGTTGCAACATCACATTTATACAAGGAAAAACTACACTTACCTTAGCTGTTTCTTGAAGATTTAATGCCTTTTCGGCTAATGTGTTACCAATACTTCGCAAACTCTTGTTGAGTTTGTTTGTAGCCCACTTGTACTCGAGTTTTTCCGATCTATCTTTGTTTTTTTCTACGAAAAAACGATGGAACTCGATGATATCCCACTCAATAGAGTTCTTCAAATCGAAGTATAATAAGTGAATAATGTCGTCTCTGACGTCCGATACGCAAGTAGTTTACCTGGGTTCCTGTGACGATAAAAGGGTTGTTTTCAAAAAAATTAAAACTATTTTTGCGAAAAGATCACATGGTTAAAATCTGTTTATTTGTTCAATTTCACGTGATAATTAACAATCTATCTCATGTGATCAAAAAACAGCCAATTAATATCGCACACAACTTTATTTTATACATTTTGATATAATATTTTATTCATCAATTAAAATGGTTATATCTTGCAATATATTGGATATTGCTGTAATTTTAATGTATTTTTGCTAAATTCTAAAGCAAGGCATTAAAATAATAAAAATCTATATTTTAAGTTTATAAAATTAGCGCTTATACCTGATATCGTCTTTGCAAGCCCTTCATCAATTGTGCTATACTCTGAAATTCTTCAGTTTCGTATAATAATATATCCTCCTCATTTGTAGTCAGTATTGGATTTGGACATATATGATGTCCAATTGGACATATACAAGTTTATATGTCCAATTAGATAAATGTCCAACACTGTTTGTAGTATCTTCAAATTCTTCTTCGAAATTCATATTCATTTCCAAATGCTCATTATATGCTCATCTATCCCAAGTATTCAAAACAAGAAGATACATTTAGTCCCATACTTACGGAACATACAGGATAAAATCTTTTCATTTGTGAACATATCTTCATATTGATCCCAATCGAAAAGGTATCTTGATTTGATAGATGCGAAGTATTGGTTTTTTTCTTTTTTTTTTGGCAGGTAAATCCAGTAGGTAAATCTCCTTCAGAAAAACCACTGGTAAGTGGTGGAAAATAATAATTTTGTTTTTTGACTCTTTTATCTTCGGATTTAACTATCTATTTCTTTTATTACTTAAAAGTTTTTCAAAAGAAAATTGCAGTTTGTTTTGTCATTGTAACCAGCTTTTTTTGGTATAAGGATGTGATCTAGTTGTTGAAAATATCGTGCAAAACCATATTCATATCAATAAAAATTCACTCCTAAGCCACTCTAGTGTATTAATTTTTGAGCTGATATGACGTCGAATAAGTTTGCAACTGGATATTCGTCAGCATTATGTAAGTAAGTTGATTATAGGACACGCCAAACTGAATATCTAAAAAAATGCTAACATAAGCTTGTTATTAATTTTTGCATCTAGATCTTAGAATTACTGTCCAGTACTGAAAATTTGTTTCAATATATTTTTCAAATCAGTTTCCATGAAAAAGATTAAAATAGATGCCTAGTGTTGCTAGTATAAAGTTATTTAAAAGATCAATAGAAGTTTGATATCCAATATTATTTGATTGGGAAAATCATGAAAAAGATATATTTTGAACTAAAATCCATCTGATAAAGAACAACTTATTCATTTGTTATGTGGATTACATGAAACGATAAAGATTTTTTCTAGATAGGAATATTCTTGAAAAAATCGAAAAGGATTTTTGCTCGAAACTTGAAAAAAATTATTTGGAATGCTCATGTTTAAAAAATCTTATAGCTATCCGATCGCTATTTGATGAAATTTATATGAAAACGGGATTGTTGATCCCTATTAAGGTTACGTAGCCTTATTAAATTTCATTCATTTAATGAAACTAGGATATTGAGAGTCGCTCTACGTTAAATGCGTAAAATATCAGTCATTCCTGTTTCTCTAAATATAATATAAAAATATTTATTATATTATTTGGCTTTTATTTACAATACAGAAATTCTTGCCGACATCTAAAAAAAGGAATGCTATTAATGTTAACGTTTCTTAAGTTAAAAAGAGAAACCCGCCAAGTACACACATTTTATATTCAGAATCTTAAAATCTGAAACAATGCATAAAAAAAGAAAAAAAATAGGATTGGATTGGTCAGGTACAAAAAGACCGGTCTTTCATTTATCTTATATATAAAACTTATTCTAAAGTTATTTTTATTCTTTTTCGCGATTGCTTTTTAAACCGTTAGAAACAGGTGTAAATACAAATTAAAGAAAGTGAATTCCTCTACATACATACAATAATTTTATTATCAAATATGACAAAAAATATTTATGACGAATAATTACTAAAATAGGAAGGTATCACCCGTTGCTTATTTTCAGAAGAAAAATATACGTCGTATCGTAACAAAATTATTTTCAAAATTTAAATTAGTATTAAGATAATATCCCGACAAGTCACCTGTAACCTGAAGTAAATCAAGAAAATAAAATCACTGCGGCGGAAGAGGATATTTTTTCATTTGTATTTTAAAATTTTATTTAATTATCTTTGAGTCAACTTTTAAATTTTAGTAAAAGCATCGAAGGATTTTTTGAATTTACAGTATGAGAGTATCTTCGTAGGATGCGAATTTTTATTTTATTTTTTTTTAAAAAAATTATTAAAGATGAGATGATTTCATTTCTTTTTGTGTTCCCTGTTCAATGTGTACGAAATATGATCGACTAATTTCTTTTGATCATTGGACAGGTAAAGACACCTTTTTCTTTATAATTCATGATGTAATATTCATCTTGTGGAAGGCTATTTTTGGTTGAGAAAATAAATATGAGAATTCAAAAATTAAAAGGCTCTTAAAATAGTTCTTATTATTGATTCTTAATTTATCTGTTTTGCCAGTATTCATTGAACCTTTAGGATGACGACCTGAGATATTTGAAATTCCTTCATATTTTGTTAAATATCATTAAAAATAATGTCTCGAAGGATATTTTAAAATTATAAAAATTTATTGTTACACTTATATATAATTTAGAATTATTGTAAATCGATAGAATTTTAGATAGAAATATAGAATATAGAATAATTCATCATAAAATAGTTTGTTTATTTATCATTTATTAAATGAGTCACCCTAGACAGGAAACTCAGTTTAAACATTTTGTTAAATTATTTTAGAAAATTTTAAGACAATAAAATAATATCAATACTATAGCTTTTTGAATCAAAATTAAATATACTGTATGATTAAATAATAATAATTCTGATTGTTGTAGTATTACAATCAAATTTGAAAACTATTAAAAAATTTTAAATTATTGAAATCCATTAATCACATCACTTTTATTTGCATAAAAATAATAATTTAAAAAAAATTTTTAAGAATATTTTTTTTTATTTTAAATTAATTAAAATCTAATAATTAGTCTAAGAGTTTTGAATTAAAATTGACTTTCCAATAATAATGAGATTTTTGCTTCATGTTATAGTATATAAACTAACACAGATGTTAAAAATTTGCAATATCTATGTGATATAAATTACGATTATAAGAACGATATATGTTATTATTATATAAGTTTTTAGTAGAAAATTAAACATTTTATAGTCTTTATTCTATTTAATGCATTTTTTTGATTAGTAATTAATTTATTAAAAATTATTTATAAAAATTTCAGTAATATAATAAGTACCATTTAGTATTCTTTGAAATTTAAACGTGACTGTTCATTTTTATATAGCGATCAAATTAAAGTTTACACAACTGATTGAATATTAACAATCAAATTACCAATTTTATTTTAAGATTCATATAACTATTTCTATAAAATATAATATTTATTTTTTATACAAAATTTGTTACTCTAAAATAAATTTCATATATAAAAATGATATAATATTTTTATAAAAAAAATTCATGTTTACTAATATTGATAATAGTATTGTAATTATAAAAATATAATTAAAATAATTAAAAAAAAGTTTACACATACTCAGTCAACTAAAGTTATAAACCTTAAAATTCAAGTCTAACAGATATGATTTGAGTCAGAAATTTACTTAAGATAATTAAATTCATACAGTTTAATCTTTATATTTATAAAAAGATTTAATTAATAATTAATTATAAAATTAATAAGAATAATACATACATATTAATTGTTTGAAATATTTAAAGATTCTATTAAATTAAAATATCTATTAGAATTGAAATAATAATTGAATTTTATCTATTTCATAAATTTATAAATTTATAAGAATTACCTATATTTTGACTAATTTTTAAATTTTTATTTTCAAGATTTAAAATTTTATTTAAATTTTCAGTAAAATCAAGTAAACGACTTGTATGATATGCTTGAGAATGAGATTCCATGAAAATGTTATCATTATCTGTATTATTATTTTGTTCTTGATTTAAAACTTTATCTGTTTTATAAAACTCTACAATTTCATTTATTAAATTTTTATCAAAATCTTTGACAATAATATTTTTATACCAACTTTCAATAATTTTTTTAATTTCTATTGCAGTTGGTCTTTTTGATTGACATTCATCCCAACATCTTTTCATTAAATTTATATAACATTGTGGAGCATTTCCAATATCTTTAGGTCGTTTGCCTTTACAAATATTTAAACCAAGTTGAAAATCATGAGCTTCATGATTAAATGGTGAAACTCCAGATACTAATCCCCACATAATCATAGAAAAACTATATATATCACTAGCCAAAGTATAAGATTGACCTCTTAAAACTTCAGGTGCAACAAATGGTAAAACACCATAAATATTATTTATATCATTTTTTTTAGATGATTGAAAATATTCTATAGGTCTACATAATCCTAAATCACTAATGGATAAAATATTTTTTCTGACATTTAAAATATTTCCATGATGAAAATCACAATGAATAAGATTTTTTTGATGTATTTCATTAAGTCCACTAATAATATTATATAATTGTAACAATTTAATGATCGATCTATTCTTAACAATATTTAATAAATTTTTTCTTAAATTACTATTCTCTGCATATTTCATTACTACTATATAATTTAATATATTTGGATCTTGAGTAAATCCATATAATTGAATAAGGTTTTCATCTGAATATTTATATAATTGACTAAAACATTCATAATGAAGTTTCCACTAAAATAATAAAAATTTATTTAAAAATTTGTTATTTATAATTAAAATAATTATTAATTTCATATCTCATTTAAAAATTCTTCATTTAAATTTGATGAATTATCAAGACATTTTAAAGATACTTTTATTTTATTTTCTCTAATCCAATTTTTATCATTATATGAGTAATAAATAATAAGTCTATCTTTCCAAATAATACTATATATAATGCTAAATCCTCCTTTATCAAGATACTTAATATTTGTAAATTATTTATAAGAAATCCATTCTAACATTTGCCTTTTATTTTTAGCATTTAATTGAATATCTTGAATAAATTTATTAATAAATTTATTTTTACTAGACCAATTAGAAAAATTTTGTTGTAATAATTTAGAATTACAATTATTACACTATTTATATCCGGTATTTTTTTTATTACAAATAACACATATTCCTATTTTTTTTAAATAATAATTTATATTAATATTATAATTGAATTATAAATTATAAAAAAATAATAAACTTGCTAAATTTGTATAAATTAATTATATTTAATAATTTTTATAAATAAATTTGATATTAAATAAAATTAAATATATATATTAAATATATAATTAAATAATATTATTTAAAAATAACCTACTATTTATTATAATTATTAAATATTTTTTTAAATAAAAATTAATTTAATTTTAAATTATAGAAAAAGTATAATTAAATACTAATAATTAATAAAAATAACTTGCTTGCTTTGGTAATATTTTTGATTTTAAATAAAAAATTTAGTTGAGTTTAAATTACATAAAAACATATAATAAATACTGATAATCAAAAAATATAACTTACAATCTAAAAGATTAATTGTTTTTTAAATAAAAATTTTGTTTGAATTTAAATTATAGTAAAAAGTATAATTAAATACTGATAATCAATAAAAATAACTTATCACCTTTAGTTTTTTGATTTTAAATAAAAAATTTAGTTTTATTTAAATTACAGTAAAAAGTATAATTAAATACTGATAATTAATAAAAATAACTTACCATCTATTATATTATTAATTATTAATTAAGTTGAGATTAAATTACAATAAAAAGTATAATTAAATACTAACTAATAAAAATAACTTACCATCTATTATATTATTAATTATTAATTAAATTGAGATTAAATTACAGTAAAAAGTATAATTAAATACTAATTAATAAAAATATCTTACCCGCTTTAATGATATTTTTATTTTTAAATAAAATATTTAGTTGAGATTATATTATAATAAAAAGTATAATTAAATATTGATAATTAATAAAATAACTTACTCCCTTTAGTAATATTTTTTGATTTAAATAAAACATTTGTTTACATTTAAATTATAGTAAAATGTACAATTAAATGCTGATAATCAATGAACATAACTTATAAACTAAATATTAATTATTTTTTTAAATTAAAAATTTAGTTGAGTTTAAATTACAGTAAAACATATAATTAAATACTGATAATCAATAAAATAACTTACTACCTTTAGTTTTTTGATTTTAAATAAAAAATTTAGTCGAGTTTAAATTTCAATAAAAAGTATAATTAAATACTGATAATCAATAAAAATAACTTACTATCTATTATATTATTGATTATTAATTATTTTTTTTAAATAAAATATTTAGTTAAGTTTAATTACAATATAAGTATAATCAAATACTAATAATCAATAAAAATAACTTACAAACTAAATATTAATTATTTTTTTAAATAAAAAATTTAGTTGAGTTAAAATTACAATAAAAAGTATAATTAAATACTAATAATCAATCTTACTATCTATTGTATTATTATTTAATAAATATTTTTTTTAAAATAAAAATTTTGTTGAATTTAAATTATAATAAAAGCATAATTTATTAAATTATATATCTTACTTTCTATATTATTATTAATAAAAATATAATTTTTTATTAAATTATAATAAAAATTATTATTAGATGCTAACAGTCAATAAATATTACTTACCATCTATATCGATATTATTTTCAAATGAAATTTAGTAAAAGTAAAATTATTATTAAAAGTATAATAATATATATATTTAAAAATAACTTACCGACTAAAATATTAAAAATAATTTAATTTGAATTATTTAAGTTGATATTATAATATTTATAATATAATAATAAAAATAACTTACTCCCTATAGTAGTATTCTGATTAATAAATATTGGTTTAACTAAATTTAAATGATACAATTTAAAATATAGTAAAGTCTAATAGATTACAATCTAAGTATTATCAACCATTAAATTTTTTTAAAAAAAATTAATATTAAAAATTATAGTTTCAAATAAATAAATGAATTTCATTACCATATAATTCACTTAATGTAGGGGCATCAGGAGCATTCGAAACTGGCTCTATCATAATGTATTTATTTATGGAAATTTTTGAAATTAATTAATGATACTACTGAATAACCGTCAAAGAAACTCATTTGAGGCATGAACTTCATACCGTTTATTTCCTTTTTTTGTTTGGTGAAAATATTTTTCAGTTTGCCTATTACACTTTTACCTTTATTGTTACTATCAGACATTGCTATAAAAAAAAAATTTTTTTTTTAAAAAAAAAAAAAATTTTCAACCAAATTTCTTGTATAACGATAACAGGTCAGGTGATGATAGCACAGCATTACAATCCAAATACTGCAGTAATTATAAGAATTTTAATTAAAATATATTTATTATTCGCAAGTAGAAGTTTTATCAATGTTAATAATAATTGGATTGAATAAAATAAAAAAATTTTATTATGATCGGATAATAAAATAAAACTTTTGGATGTTATCAAATTAGTTATATTTGTGTTTTGTAGAATTATGTAAATAATAAATAGTTAAAAGGTACGAAGTGAGTAACTGTGGTATTTGCAATAAACTGAATGGCATGATAGTGCAGCATTTGAGTTCACTTTATTACATAGTAACAATGCATGATAAAACCAGAAAATTTACAACTTTACGGAACGCTGGTCATATAACTTTTATGAGAATAAAAAGTAAATTAGGGTTAGATGAGGGGTATTAAGGTTTAAGTTCAAACGGAATTTCTGATTAATTTAATTTGACTACTAACGTTATCCGAGTGTAATTTATAATAAAAATAATATATTATTATTATCACCTATACTACTAGGAAACAGTTCGGAACCCGTTGTTAAGTCCGGAACACAAGTGTGACCAATCACGTATCGACTCAATTTTGAGCGGGACATTTTTGTGTCACCCAGCATAGTCCTTCACTTCGTTCACGACTAATTATATTTTTAGTAATCGACATTGTGTTCCAGCATCCAGGCAAGGCATATATTATTGAGAGCCGAAAGAGCAGTAATTTGTTTCTTCTTTAAATTCTTGGTAAATCTTGTTAATATTAATAAATCGCTGTTAATTATCTTTGCTATAATATTTTGTAAATTCATCGATTCCATTGTTAACATGGAGAAAAGAATAATGTTAGTAGTATCAGCCGTTGGAGTCAGAGTCGACGGCTGAGTCGTCTCTGCAAAAATCATTTAGAGTCGACTTCGGAATTTTCAATGACTGAGCCATGACTGAGTCGCTGTTCCAAATTTGATATAAGGTCAGAATATTGTGAAATTCTTAATTAAATAAAAACTTCAAATTTTTAGTCAAATGGGATTCTTGTCAACATTATTATGATGAAACTTATAATTGTCTATCTTTTTGCAACATTAATTAAATTTTAAAAATTTTTGATAGATATTAAGATATTAAATACAATTATGGTCGCTAAATTCAAATGAGTGTCTCGACTCAGTCGACGGCTGAGTCGACTGAAAAGTCTCTAACGGCTAACTGAGTCGACTCCAGAATTTGTCCCGACTGGTACTACTAAATAATGTTAAAGTTTGCGCTGATTGATAAATTAAATTTTTGTTAGTTCAGTTGCTATATGAGGTTTAGACATATCCGACGTTTATTGTAGCATATGCTGTTGAAGGTTCAATTTTAGATTATTCTTTTACTTGTATGATGAAAAAATAATTTGTTTCCAATAAATCTTATTAGTTAAATAATAAAGGATAAAAGACATTTTTTTATTCTCTAGAATGATAAGAATGATAACGCGTCGACAGGGTACGTTGAATTAATAGAATTAGAATGATAAAATTGAAAAAATACATTAAAGCTAATATACGTTATTAGATTAATAAAATTTATTGAATTCATTAAATAATATTAAGCTTGACTTTTGAATCCTTATATAGCAAATGTACATTTACATCGAAAGACATAAAATAAATTTTTTTTAATAAAATTGCCTTAAACATGATTAAAAAATTTTAAATTAACGTGTTTATTTATTTTTATATTTTTATTATTTTTTATTGATTTTATCAACTTCAAATTATAAATTAAATAAATTAAATTAATATTGTAAATAGGAAGATTCGAAGTTTTAAATTACGAGTTTAGTTAATAGAATATATCTAACGATTTATTCTTGTTGATTGATTTTTAGAATATACTGTACGTGTTATAAAATTTTATAATTTTAATGAATACATCCATTTTATGATTAAATCTATAAAACAACTTAATAATATTATTTTAATATTATTTTATTATAAATAATGGACTTAATTAATTTTCACAATTAACAAAATATTTTTTGTATATGCTTGCATTTAGTCAGATATTGAATAACGATAACTGCTTCTCCTACGCCGCGTAGAGGCGGCAAGCTTCGTTCATGTTAAAAAAAAATTGAGTCACGAAGATTATTAGAGGAGAAAAAAAAAGCATACGAATTATAATAAGGTTATAGAAATAAATAACCTCACAGCATCATAGATACGAATTCAAGCATTGAAAAATTAAAAAAAAAATTCATAACTACAAAATAGTGACTAAAGGGTGGATTATTTTAAAATGAAAAAAGTAGCCGACTTCATATAATAGATACAATGTAGTATCGTAGACATGCTTATAAAAGAAAGTTTGTCAAAGGAAAGCATTATTATAATTTTTATTTAATTTTCTAAATTTAAGAATAACTTAACACGTCTAAAAAATTGTTTTGGGTAGAAATAAAATTTTATTTTTCTTGTAAATTTATAACATTGTCGGAAAAGTATATTAAAAGATAAGTAATAAAAAGCCCCAAAAATTAAATGTATTCTATAAAAATTTTTTTTATAATTTGCAATTTCAAATGTTAAAAAAGCTTTCTCTATGGAATGTAATAGCATGCATGTATTATTATTCACATTTACATATTATAATGCCTACAAAGAATTAGATGGTAAGTCAAATAATAGTATTATAATTAATTTTTACAAAAAAAAAAAAAAATACAAATTTAATTATAATTGTTATTTAGAATGTAAACTATTTAATTTATATACCTTAACATATATAATTAAAATATAATTACTTTTTACTTGTATATTTCAGAACATCCACATTTAGTTAAATATTTTATATTTTGTAAATCTCTATCTTGGATCCATTCAGTTATTCCATATGGGACAACTGTTTCCATTTGACATTTCTGTATTAAATCATTATTAAAAGGTTTAAATTCTTTAATTAAAATTTCTAATGTAAGGGTATAAAGTAAGCTTAAAATTGGCTTAAAAATATTAATCATAATTTTTTTTAGACTAATTTTAACGAATGATTAGCGTTAGTCAAGATTTATATGAAAATTTTGTGAACTGTTGTACTACAAAATTTAAAGTTGTAGTTCGTCAGAGAATGGCGTACATTTTACCAAGTACCTTTTGCCCCCGAAATATTCCGCTCGAGTATAGTATTTCCCACCAAATTATATCAAAGTATTGCACTATATAATAATAAAGTTTGTAACAGATAAGTCTATACTTTCATTTATCAATTTATGAAATGTTATTTTTTTATATTCAGATTTCCATTACTTAATTATAATTCCGCAGAAAAGCATTCATACATAAATTTTTGGTTTGGGTTTAAGACTTGAACTTATTCTCTTTTATTTCTTCAGACACTTGTTTATATGGGTTGATTCAAGCTTTTGTTGATCAGAAATTATTAAAAAAAGAAATAAAAAAAAAATTACATTTTGTTTCAATTACTTTAGAAGATTTATTTCGTAATTTGTCAAATCTAACTCATTATCTCCTCAAAATATTAGAAAAAAATTCATTATCTTTTAAATATTCTAAGATCGTTAAACACACATCACTCTTCAGCAAAAGAAGCTATTGATTCTTATTTGTTCCTCAACTAAAAAATATGATATTTGTTTAGTATTCGCATTAGGGTATCCAGGGGATGGTTCAAAATTCGCGCGTGATTTTATCGAAAAAATCGTGATTATAATTCCGGCTAAAATCAACATAATTTCAGAGTAAAAACCTAGAGGAATCCGTGGATGAAAATTTTGATCATGTGGTCGACTAAATCACCCAATCAAATTTGAATGCCGTCAACATAAAATTGTCAAAATCGTGACCAACAAATTCGCATCAAGAACTTATGAACCATAAGATATTGAAATTATACCTCAATTTCTTCATTCAAAATTGAAACCAAAATTTTTAGGTGGATATGTTGTCGAAAATTTATGGCAACAATAATATTAATGGTCATTATTAGGAAATCGGACAATATTTTTACAGTTCAAATATTTGATGCTTTACATAATTCGTCACATGGTGCCGACAAAAAACACGTGGAGATGAAAATCATAAAATGAACATTTATATTTGAGACGAACTTAATAGCTGTTTCACAAATAGGATGAGAATCGAATCTATAGAAATCATTTCGTTGTAATATAACATTTTGATAATTTAATTAAAGATTTTCGGGTTTGGTCATTTGACGCAATCAAAAAATTGAATGGTTACACATGTTCATAAAATAATTTATCTTCTACCGTCTCATATATAATCAAAAAAAAGTTTATGGTTTTATAGCGTTGCTTACAAGTTTATATACGTCATCCATTTTATAAATTCAATCCAAGAGGCTAGATGACATTCCCCCCTTCTATTACAAAGGCCCGTAATCAACTTGCCCAGTAATGAAGAATTTGGAATTATTAATTTAACAAAAAAAACTAAAAAATAATGTGTTCCTTTATTCAATTAAAATTGCAACATTAGTCTATAAAAATTTCTATGTTATTTAAAAATAATAATAATAATAATAATAATAAGTTATTACAAACTATTCTAAACTAAAATGGTTGCTTTCAAAGTAAAGACAATGTTTCAGTAATCTACCGAATAAGTTCAAATTTTTTCCTCTTCTTCATCTTTTGATCCGTTACACGCTAGGATTGCTATCGTGTCATTTTGACCATTTTGACCATTATCATTATGTTCACTATGATCACTTTGATCATTATTATCAAAATTATCATTATGAACATTATTATCATTATGACCATTATCAAAATAACTACCCTTGATCACACATGCAATAATATTAATGATTACGTTTACAATTGATGAAATTAGAGTAAATAATGGCACGAAGTCATAATAAACACTGTTTGCAGCATATACAATCTATAAAAATTTTTATAAAAACTTAATGATTGGTTTCAATAAATATAAAGAATAAGAAAAATTAAATAATATACCTGAATGATTACTTGTGGAATGTCTTCAATCACTAAATTTAAACAAGTTATGAGATATATCCATTTTAATGCATTGTTAGTAAATTTAGCATTAAAACAATCCTGATTGAATAAGATTATTTTTGATTCAAGGAAATAAAAAGCTTTAATATCGGCTCCCGCTAATAAGGTGAATGTTCCCAAAAGTTTCGTATTATCTTTTGACCATTCCGAGAATTTTTCATTTAGTTTTTTTTTTTCTTTATGTATAATCATTGATGCCAATGCTACATCAACAATAAATGGAACTACCAAAAATATTGCACTTTAAAAGAAAGGATTATATTGTAAAAATTTTTTGAAATGTCAAATCATTCATTTCGGAATTTAATTACCTTGGAACAAAGATTCCATGAACATTTCTTGCTTTTGTAAAAACAAATAAAATATCAAAAACCAGATCAAAAATGATAGATACAAGTTTAAAGATTGCCAAATTATCTGCCTAAATAACATAAGTTATAAGATTTATATAAATAATTGTTAGATACTTGTATTTCGATTGGAATTACAATTCGTGCTATTTACCTCTCTATTGTTGTTTCTGGCATAAATGAACAATCCAAACGATCCGATTATGATCACAATAACTACAATTATTGCAAATCTATAATCTTCCAATAAATTTGCTATTTACAAGTTCAATAATATAATTTAGTTTGTGATTATTTGTGATACAATATTTGTTTTAAGAATGATTACTTACGAGAAAGTTGGTATCCATAATCTTGATCCAAATATTTTGAATTTTCTCCGAATGCGATAAAAGTGATAGTTTTATGATTAATCAAAGTATTTATATCTTTAGCGGCCGAATCAACCGATCTTTCTTGCCTGTTTTCATCTTTCTTAATAATGATAGATAAAATTATTTGTTTTGGAAAAACTGAATTATCAATTTCGACACATCCATTAGTCGTTATACGGTCCTGGTTAATAGGTATCGCATGAGCTAATTCTTGCATTAATTTTGTGTAAAAATCATTACGTCCAACTTTATCTAGATTCTCGAAATGACTAGTACCACTTGCAGTCAAACGAACTCTTCCCGCAACTTTATCTGAATTTTTTTCATCATTTATATCTAATTGAAAATGTTTGTTGATATATTAGAATTTAATTTCAAATGGGAAGAATGTATAAAGTACTCACTTGTTGTAAAAAACCAATCTTTGTTTTTTAAACCAAGGAGAGGTTCTTGTAATTCCTGACTCTTTACAAAACCATTTTCAATTAAAACATAATATCTTTCACCTGGCCGATTGAATGTACTATTGATAATATTAATGTTAACGATAGTTCCATTTCCTTCAAGTGTTATATGCTCGTTGTTGCTTCCAGAAACGTTTTGTCGCACAATATCGTTTTCATTTTGAAATATTATAATGTTACGATTTGATAACTCGATAGGATTGTTATATTGAATTTTAATAGAATTTATATCATATGTAATATTATCGTCAATTGACGGAGATGTGGTGTTAATTTGTAAATTTCCATATCTATTATCTATAATATAAATAAATTCATATAAGTTATAAATTTAATTTTTTTTTTTGACTTTTAATCATTAACTTTCCACGTCATTTTACCTTCTCCAGCAAATTTTTTCAAATCAGTTGAGCCCAAGCTCCAATTTTTTGATCCTTCGGGTTGTGCAAATACGAATGTATTATTTGGCAAAATTAAATTTGCATTCAAAATATTTGTATTGATAGGATTTGTCAATGACCAATTATCAATTTTAGTGTCATTAAAATAGTAACCATAAATGACATTGGGTCCTTTTCCATCTAATAAAAAACCTCCATACGGAAGTGATCTAACGTTATAATGTTGAACTTCTGAATTTTCGGGAATTGTATTATTTAACGATTGAATATTATATACAGCTCCTGACGAAAGAAAATCAATTTTAAAAAAAAAATCGGTCGTCGTAGTATTGGCAGAAAGTATACAAGTTTGCCCAACTCCCACGAAAGAAATACTGCAATCAAGGTTCTTAAAATTTATTCCTTGAATTTGGGTTTGATAAAGGACGACAGATTTTCGATTCGACATTTTACCATAAGGTAACAGTTTGGCGGAAATTTCTCCCGTGATCTCGTTTAAAGTGGCTTTTGAATTTGTAGTATTGTCGTATATAGTAGTATTGCAATATATAACCGCGTATCCTCCGTCCATCATTGCGACAGGTTTAAGTATAGCACTTTCGAAATCTTCTGGAAAAATGATGACATCTTCTGCAAGCAGTTTTATTTCACCATAATCGGTACTTTGTTTAATTTTTTTTAAAAAAAAGAGATCAAAATCGAGTTACTTTCCATAATTAATTTTAAATGCATATTCATTGTTATGTGATAGATTACATTATGAATTGCTGCCAGAAAGCATTAGTTGTATTTGTTTTATCCCCTAAACGAAAAAATCCCTTGTCACGATCAACATTCAAAATTATCTTGGCAGAGTTAGGCATCCACTCATTAGTTTTAGGATGAAAAAAGGCATTACCCAGAGAGGCGTTGCTATAAAAGAAAAATAAAAAGAATAAAAGAATCTCAAATTATAATATGTAAATTAAATAAAAAAATTGATTTCTTTCTAACCTATAAAATTTTCCATTTAAATCTACTACCATCGCCCGATCATCATAGGTCGTAGGATCATCGAGATCAGTAACTACGGTATAAGTTACTAGCAAAAAATTTTCCTTAACAGCATAAATTCTTATAGGGTTATATACTTCATCATCAATTACCCTAATACAAAAATTTAAATCTTGTATATCCAACTTAACGTCAACTGGTTCAATTCTTCCGTCAGGAAAAATCTTGCGAAGTGACAAATATCTATTCATGCATATTTCATTTTTAAAATTGAAATGATCCGAATGATTTACACTGCCGATTTGAAGAACGATCGAGTTATCTTCATAATTTTCCATTGAAAGTATGATAGGGTTAGTGTAATTATCATCTTCATCATATGTAAAAGAATTGATTTGTGATCTTACGGGTAATGTTGCGAACAAAATGATCAAGAATATTGTAAAAATAAAATACTTCATTATATCAAGTTGAATTTGCATTTACCAAATGAAATGACTCATAAAAATGAAAAATTCATGAATCTTAAGACAAAAAATGGGTAAAATCAATGATTTAAATCCTTTTTTTATTTGAAAAAGATCTTCGTCAAGTAGCAGATCAGCTATGTTAGAATGGAACTAAAACAGAAATGGTCCGAAATCCATCTCGGAATAAAAAGTTCCCAACAAGTGACCAATAAGTAAAGTTTAACGTCGTGCATATGAAATGGTCATTTATAAATTGCTACCAACCACGAATTATATTATTGTGATCAACAATATTGTACGCGATAATTTGCAAAAAATTTTACATACGAATATGTTGTATTTATTGAAAAATTTGTTATCATTAGATTAAAAAATGTCGGTACAAAATTAATTTCTAATATATGAAAAATGACAAATGAAAATTACACTAAAATTAAAATTAAATTCTATTTGATTTTAAAAGGGTATAAGTTAATATTAAATTGATAAAAATTCTCGTTAACCTTATACTCTATAAACTGTGTTAAAACCTCATTTTAGATTCAGTATAATCTTCGCTTGACTGTTGGTACTACCATTTTCGATAATTTTCAGAAATTTATCACTTCTCCCACGCACAGAAAGGTTTTTGCAATTTCTTTCAGCTTCTGTCATAAGAATACCTTCTTTATCACAATCAAGGTTCAGATCATCAAATTTATAGGTGAAAGCTTTGGTACCACCTTCATAAATTGTTACTTTCAATCTTTTTGTCAAATCATGTACGACATCACCGCAGTTATCCACCACTAAAAATTTGTAGTTTTTGGTTGATTTGAAACCTCTGCTGAAATAGCCTGTGACGGTTGTGCTACCAACTTCATCTTGAGCAAATACCACAAGTCCCTTAATTGGACCTTCCGAAATCTTTTCAATTTTAGGACCATTTGGATCAAAAATCGCATTAGCAAGAGTGAAAGGACACTTTGTAGTACAAGAGTGTACAAGGTCATCACCAATTCGTATAACTGCCGAAGCAGTAATTATGGTTATAAGAAAATAGGCTAAAGAAATTATAATATTTTTCATATTAAATTTTGGAAATAAATAAATAAATTTTTTTTATAATGAATTATTCTTTTTTTTAATGCTTGTTTCGTGAATACATTTATTTGCGATGGCAACTTGACTCATTTTTATATATTTTGGATATACAAGTATTATTCTCGATTAATTTGATTAATTAATTAATTATGCGTATAATAAAGAACGACATATCTTTAATTTTCCTATGTTAATCTTTTCTTACAGGTCCATAATGATTTGAGAATCAATTTTGGGTCGAGATCCAAAAGATATTTATCGTTATATTTTTAATGTCACACCTCATAATTTATTTGCTTGTGTCGAAGGGCAATCAATGTTAAAAATGGAAATTTGATTGTTTACGAATTTGGAAATTTGGAAACTTATTCATTGACAATCATTTGTACAAAAAATTTCGGTAAAAATTTTTCGCAATTTGCTAACCACAATTATTCAAAGTTAAATTTTATTCATGCAAGATTTTAAATGAACTTTGTTTCGTATCGATATCAAATTAGATTGATTGGTCATTCATTTCCCTATTTAGCAAGAAGAAAATAAGTAATTTGCCATTTGGTTACGGGCGGGTAAACTTAGACATTCAGGAGGCAGTAGAAAAGGTGGACGTAGATCAGCCAAATGGTCCAATCAAAATTTGATTTGCTCCCATATGTTTAACTTTGCGAATGACTATTCTTTGTTCAAAAATAAATCCTTTCTATGAGCAATCGTCCCTTAAATACGCGCTGGGAATCTAGAATTCACAAAGAAATATGGAATTTAATATGCACACAGAGGTTGCAAAAGGATATTTTTGTAAAACAAAGATGTACATGTAAAATGCTATCCTATCATCGTATGGTTCATGGTTAATAAATGTTTTATTATTATTTTGTTTCATTTCGGAAATATTAAACAGTGCCTAAATGAACCCGAGTCTTCTCTCCTCCACTAACTGCCAAAGGATTATACGGCAATGCACTTGGAAATCATCTAAACAAAGCACGGATTTATTTCCTATGTATGACTCGATTTAATACCAAACGATTAATACTGTAAAAAATGCTGTTTCATAAACATATACTAGTATCGAGCCAGTAAGAAAAGGTCCCTGACGATGTCGAACTTTTTTATGAGGAACCAATAAAATTTCTATAGAAGTAGATCCAATAATAACGATTGGTTAAAACAAATTTTAAAAGTCTTATTCCAATTTTATTGCGTTTTTGTTTTATAATTTAATTTTCCGCGAGATGCAAAAGAATTTTTTTTTACCTGAAACAATAAATAAGAATTATTTTGACAAGTCTAAGATAGGCAACATTTGCTACTCAAGTGATTTATATTTTAGAAATGGAAATAATTACAATTATTTTTCTTAATTAGAAGAAAAATTAATTAGCTACTAATATATAGTATCTCTTGAAATAGCCATCGAAGAACACACAATTGTATTTGAAATAAAAATATTATCAAGAAATAACGAAACTCCAATTGAAAGAGGAAGAAAAGAATATGGGTTGTTTTGAAAAGACGCTTCTAAGGGTCTAGTTAATGATCACTTTCAATGTAAGGTTATTATTTTATTGATTTTTACATATATATTTTCAGATGCCTTTGGGAGGTATATTTGCCCTTCGATTTTCATGCGAAAGTTGCATATTTAAAGAATACTCTATTATAATATAGCTAATATAGCTAACGCATTATTCCAACGAAATTGAACAGATAGATCCTGGTGGGTCGTGAAACCTTTCTAAATTTTCGACTTTAAAGTGCTGCTATAATACGACCTTAATGATATGAAAAATTTCTGATTAAAGACATTCAACAATAGTTTTGGTGAAGTTGTCGGTAAAATTTGTCGGTAAAATGGGGAATGATATTCAAAAGAGCGTATTTTTTATTTTACCAGTAAAAAAGTTTGTATTGAAACCCTTTGTCTTTTAAACTAGTCAGTGCCCATATCCCTTTACAAGTTGAGTTGTGAAAATTACGCTAAAAAAAAAAATAATAATATAGTAGGAAGGACTTGAAAATTTAGAAACGTGATTTTTTCATCAACTTTACTTCATCTTGGGTAAATGGCCTATATTTAGTTGGTCAGGTTTAATGGCTTTTACTATTACATAAACATTCAAGCATAATTTTAGTTTCATCATCATCCAATTGAATTAATAAATAAGGTTTTACTCATCAATATGATAAATTTACATGACGATCGAACATCCATCCGATGGTCCTTTAGATCAACTACCAATCTTAAATTTTTCCTTGAGTAACGATATCTAAAATATTCTGAAAATTACAAAAATGATACATCAAAAAAAAAATTACCAAAATGACGAAAAATTACATAAAGAATAATAACAATACAATAACGAGAAAATCTTTTAACAAGTCTTGTAACTGATGAAAATGAATTTATGGTTTCACGAGAAAGTGAACCATTATTTAACAAATAAATAAATATTTATTTATTTAAATTTTGGTACAAAAAAGTCTTTCACGACATGCCAATATATCGATAAATATATCATGATCATGCAATATAGGATGAGTTCCTCATGGGCTTTTTAATTAAATTATCCATAGTAAACAACATGTTCCATATCATTTCCAGGACGGAGATTGATAGGTTTAGGTACAGATTTATTAAAATCCTTATCCAAAATTGTCCAGGCATATTTATTAACAATTTAGTGATTTTATAACAGTTTAGCGATTTATAACGATGCTTTATCAAATATATACTGTATAGTAGAATATCATGATTAAAATTTATAATGCTGAAGCGCTTGAGACTGCATATTTATATGTGTATTAAAAAATGTATCACATGTGCCAAATCATCTAAGCAAAAATTTGTATAAACTGATATGGGCTTGTTCCCATTCTTTCATAAGATTGTCGAGGCATGTAGTACTTAAACGACTCTTTAGAATACCAAACTCTTCACCGATAAAAAAAAAAAACATTTATTTACTGGACAAATAAGCATACAGTGGTTGGGTGATAGGATAAAATTCTTTTATTTGTGATACATTAAAGATCCTTGGGTGGGATAGTAAGCATAATTATTTAACGATCGGTCCCAAAAAATTATGTGTCAAAAAGCTAATCATATATTTCGGGACATAATAGGTTATTCTGACGTATATACATCACCCGTTTGAATACAATTGGTAAGTTTTCGTTGATTTTTGTATCCTCCAATTTCACTGCACATCGTGATGGTTGGAATTTACTGGGCTAACCATCGGGAAAAATGGAGTATTGCGTGATCGTGTAGTTCGAAGGGTTGTCTAAAAAAAATAATAATCAGATAAGATATCAAATACTGGTGTAAATGTTCTACTTATATGCCTCCGAAAATATCTTGTCGTTAGCATTGAGACTGCAAAGCTAAAAGCATACTATCGCCACTACAATACTGCGCCAAACATTCGGTCGTTTTATTATTTTGATGAGGTATGATTTTTCGCTTGAATTTGCATATATTACGCAAGGCGGATAAAAAAAGTACCTCTGGTATCCTCTCCTTATATAAACTGACGCACGATCTTGGAATTGCCACAATCCTCGCCTTCATTTCTTGGAACTAGCTCTCAAGCTGTTTGATATACCCTCAACTTTTCGCTGTTGTTTGTATTCTGTAACGCAAATAGGTTCTAGGATTCCTTGAATAAATTAAAAAAAATTATACGAAATTACGGGTTTATAAACAATAAGGATCAAATAATCCTTTATGTTTTACATGATTAACTTTCGCAATTCCATTTTGAAAATTTCAAAATCCCGATAAAAAGTGTTGTTAGCTTAAACGGTTCGTCGTTAAGTTAACTAAGATTATTTGCTAACAGGGAGTTTTAGTGCGTCTAAACTATGGAAGAAATAAACACGGATTAATTATGTTGAAGGGTCAGGTCGTCTTTATCGATATAGATTTAAAGAAGTATGAAATTGTATATTGAGCAAAGATATAATTGTTAAGAGATAAATGTAATTGATTTATTAGAGAATTGATAGCGACTTTGCCGTTTATTAGAGCAGAAATACAAGATATTTATATAAAATACATTAATATGAAATAGATATTTAATATAGTAAAGAAATTAAAGAAAAATAAGAAATATAATAAAATAAGAAATTAAAGATACTGTATATAAGAAATTATAGATCGCTAAGATCGCTAAGAAATTAGAGAAATGAGAGAAATCATAGAAATTAGAGAAAGTTGAGATCCATGATCGACGGGATCATCATTCGCTAATTGTAATTGGCACAGTATTAATGCGTCATAACTAGACTATACCTAACAACGGGTTCAATCCCTAATTTAATACATCTTATTAATTAAATAAAACTTCAAATTTTTAGTCCAATGGGATTCTTGTAAAATTATTTATGATGAAAATACTTTTTGAAACATTAATTAAATTTTAAAAATTTATGTTAAATATTATATTAATAATACATTTTTGGTCGCTAATTTCAAATGAGAATCTCGACTCAGTCGACGGCTGAGTAGACTGAAAGTGTCTAACGGCTGAATGAGTCGACTCAAGAAATTTGTCTCGACTGTTACTACTAATTATATCATTAAAAGTGACAATTAATTCCTTGGATAATTACGGATAAATTAGTACATACTTTGCATATTGTGACCTTCTCAGAAGAGAAGAATGGCTTCCTAAAATTAATATATTTTAATAAATCTTGTCATTTATATAAACTTTGTAATTTATATTTTTTAACAAATCTCGCCACTTTGTAAGTGACAAAATGCTTATTTACCTGTAAAATAAAGGACATTGTGAGCCACATAATTACACCTAGTAGAGAAACTCAAAACAAAGATCTTTTATATTGGAAAAAACATACCACTTTCAACCTTTTGTATAACAAGAATGTTTATTATATTAAGGTGTCCTTAATGAGTTGTTTATCCATTTTATTTGATCTAATTGATAAGAATTAAGCCTACTTTATCAAATTGGAAGTACAGATTAGTACTTTAAACGATAAGTGAATAGACTTAATGGATATTTATTTAGGTGGATATATTTGTTAGTTTCAACATAATTTTATAAAAAAAATATAGAGAAGGGTGAGAATTATAAATCTACAACGTGCCATAGTTTATGATTTATAATTCACAATCGTATATGATGATGCTGTGTAGTAATTCGCCACGGAGCGTTTATTTTATAACAATTTAAGCTATTAATTATATAATATTTACTTTAAAAATACTATATTATCCTATTTACTAGTAATTTAATTATTAAAATGTATATAAAAGCAGTATATAGCGAAGTTGAATGGAATAGTTTTAGTATTTATATATTCATTTATAATTATGTGCATAGCGTCTAAAGACTTTATAACTTTATAAACGTATGATCACGCATTTAGACCGACAAATGATAACGAAATTATATTTACGATTATTTTTTAATTTCTTGTATATTGTTTGATTGCTTCTTGCTCATTTTTTATATAAATTGATATAACAAAAATTGCGCCCGTATGTATTATATAACATTAAAGGATAAATATTGTAAAAGAAAAAAATAAAGTAAATGATAATTATGATAGTAAAGAATAAAAATATTCATAATAATCACGGGGCCGAATAATCACGGTAACTGTGAAACTCTAAATAATTTAGCTGAGCAAAAAAAAAACGCAGATTGCACGCAGCACAACATAATATTTAGTTTTTAGATCAAAAGTTTCTGGACGTCAAATCACGTGATGTTCCGAGCACTTTTCTTTGTGCTTGTAAGCATAGATTGGTTTTCTTGTTTGGAAATATGCTATTAAAATCACGTTATGGATTTTTCGTAACTTAATTTTAATAGAAATGACCCATATACTGTCTAAGAGATTTGAACTTTTCAAGTGGTTTCGGTTTCATATTTGCAAAATTATAATATATTATGGACCTGATATATTGTTTCGCCGTTTTACTTCGGCAGCCCTTTCCGCAAATGTTGAATGGATTATTAAATGCGGTTGGTTTCATTCTTCACTTCGTCGATGTATTTAAAAATTTTCATAGTTAAAAGTTAGATGCACAATTGGTAGTTTGAACGCAACATTTAATTTCGTTTTACACTTACTGGTGATTTTGAATAACAAAATTTATTAATAATGGCAAAATTTCACTAAATCGGGCAAGACTCAGAAATTTTTGAATTTGCGAACGGTAACACAACATTTTGTTCCTGCATAAATCGATTTTCCATTTACTGTTTCAAAGTTAAAGAATTCTTAGAATATCATTTTAGAATTCCGTATATCAATTTGGAAAGGATTTTATTTCCGAAACGGTGATGACAGTTGATTAAAAAAACTATAAAAGTATCTTAATTTTTCAAATTTCAAGCAAGAATTCTAACTTTTCAAAAGAATTTTTATCCAGATCTTCAATAATCATTGTGTAATATTTATAGTTAGAAATTGTAAAAAGTTTATGTAGATTATTTTACGTAATTGTTTTATCCTCCTATTCCATTGCCACAATGACATTTATTCGTAGAGAATTAGTTAATAAAATATATGATAAAGTAACTACATTAGTAAATAACAATGACATAGACAAAAGGTTTGAATTGAGACAACAAACAATTATAGCAGATAAATCTCTTACAGTTGATGAAAAATCGGAGGTAATACAATATTTATCAAGCAATTATGAATATCGTAAAATTATATATAACCAAGGAAAGAAAAGAATTTGTGAGAACTGCCAACAAGAATGTTTAGCGATATCATATTGTGAACTTTGTATTCGAAATTATTTAAAGGCAAAATTTACAAATTGGACGTCTGGAAATGATGAAATTGATGAATTAATACAGAAATGTCAAATGGAAACGAATTTCCAAAATTATATAATTGAATGGATCCCACATAACAATTTACAAAATATAAAATATTTAACTAAAGGTGGATGTTCTGAAATATATACGGCAGATTGGATTGGTGGAAGCTTTGATGAATGGGATTCTGATACGCAGCAATTAAACAGAAATGGAACACACGAGGTAATACTTAAAAGGTTAGAGAATGTTGAAAGTGCTAAGAGGAGATGGTTTGAAGAGGTATAAAAAATATTTTAAATATTCAGTTATATCATTAAAATGCTAATATATTAAATTCTGTTTATAGGCACATTCTCATTTAACATTAAGCAATAAATTGAACGAATTAGTTTTTTGTTATGGTATAACTCAAGATCAATTAACAAAAGATTATTTTTTAGTAATAAATTTACTTGATATGGATTTAAGAAACTATTTACAATAAAATAATAAACAACTTACATGGAAAGAAAGAATTCATATTACTGAAAATATAATTGAAGATATTAATTTTCTTCATCAAGAGGATGCTATTCATAGAGATCTGCATTCAGGAAATATATTATATCGTAAGGATACCAACGAGTGGTTTATTGGTGATCTCAGATTTTGTGGGCCTATTGATAAACCTTTAAAAAGCGTATATGGAAATTTTCCTTACATAGCACCAGAAGTTATGTTTGGAAAAGAAAGTACTAAAGCATCAGATATTTACAGTATAGGAATGCTTATGTGGGAGATTTCATCTGGACAACCACCCTTTGCTTATTTTGATCATAATTATGATCTTGTAATGAATATAGTAAATGGAATGAGACCAAATATAGTTTCAGGCACTCCAATAGAGTATAAGGAATTAATGATACAATGTTGGGATGCTGATCCATTGAAGAGACCCGATGTTGAAACTCTTTTTGACAAAATAAGAGAAATATATAAATCATATCATTATAATAAAAATGAAGAGAATCATAACATTAGTGATAATAACGATATAAAATTAATAACAACTTTTGATAGAAATTCTAATTTGTTTAGCTCATTAGCTAGAAAATTTAGTAAAGTTCATATTTTTGAAAATTTACCAGAACCAAGAAATGCCACTAAAGGTAAATTATTAGTTATATTTATTAGAATCATAATCGAAGTTATTTAAATTTAATTTTTTTAATTAATAGAACAAGAAGGTATTAATTTAAAAATATCAATGTTTAATATTGCTAAATATTTAATTTACCTTGTTCTTAATGAAAACAAAGAATATGATAGTAAGCAAAATAGCCTTGACATTCCAAATTGTAAGTAATGTAATTTTATAAATTATTTTAAAATTTTACTAATTTATTTATTAAATCAACCGAAGTTATAAATAACGATCAAAGCGAACAGAAAGAAGATGCAAAGCTTATTAGTAAGATTATATTTATTGTAATAGTTATTTTTAATTTGTTTATATAGTTATTATTTAAAACTATTTACACTTTATATATTATAGATGTAAATGTTGAAATAAAAGGCAATTCTAAAAGAAATTATCCTGATCGTAATAACTAATTTTATTATACTATGAAGCTTAATCTATTTGCAAAAAAAAAAATTTTTATCTAATACTAATTATTGTTAGAAAATGAAAATTTGAACATGAAATCTAAAAAAATAAAATCTAATAATTATAATGGTAATTATTTAATTAAATTTTTTTTTAAATTTATTGTATTTAAAATTATTAAATTAAATAATTTATTGTAAGTTCCTATGGTCTTCAATAATAATGAACAAAAAAATTGTATTGAAAGTGATGGTAAGTATAAACAATTTCTTTTAAACAAGTTATTTATTATTTTTATTAAGTAATTATTAAATCATAGGTGATGAAATATATAATAATCCAAACCTTCATTCAGAAGATCAAAATGATTTGATAATTCCTCAAAGTCTTTAATTATAATCTAATTAGTATACTTAAAGGAAACTTCGAGTTATCTAATTTAAATGATTATATAAATTAAAACTAAGATAATAACCTTATTTTTCATTTTTTTTGTTGTAAGATCATGCAATTTAGTAAGTGTTGTGACAAGTCGATTGGTCTTTCCATATTTAAGCTAGACGTCATTTTTTAAGTTATGATTCTTTTTTTTTAAAAAAAAAAAGATGGATTTACAATATTTAATAATGCAGCATAGCTTAAGGGCGTAGTAGCTAATAATTTCCATTTCAAATTTATTGGGCTTTAAATTTTGAGTTCAATCAATAGTTCCATTTAGAAAAATTCGTGATATTATATATTTTATTTAATATTTTCTCATGTATCATATGGGACTTTTGCAATTTATTGAGCAATGTTCAAACCTCGCATGATATGTAATTTGCGCACACAAACAGATGAACGTTATTATTTACTTTGGTTTGCGATGCGAAAAAAAATAAAAACAAATATTTGGTTCCTGTTCTTTAGTCTACTCTGATAAATCCTTGAATTCTGAAGAAATTAATCGACAACAATCCGACTTTACCTTGTTCCTGCTAACTAAATGAATTAACGATATATAAATTTTTTCTTTATGACTACTAATTTTTCAGCTCATATACAGTGACGCTCAAAAGATTTGCATTACTTAAATAAAAATGTTAAAATAAAAATAATTTTTAATATAATGTACGAAAACTTATGTAAAAAGGCTCATTTTATTCGTAAAATCTGACAAAATACATAATAAAAACTTTATTTTATAATTTATAAAAAAAAATTGACCAAAAAGTAAAAATTTACATCAATCTAATCTATATGATGCGTTACTTATGATCATTTGTAACTATATATAAATAAAAACAAAATCATCAAACAACTAATGATTTAAAATTTAAAAAAACTTTCCAACTTATTCTTCACCATCTTGTATATTCTCCTTTAGCTTTAATTACATACTTAATTCGTTCAGGCATACTTTGGATTAATTTGGTTAAAAATTTTTCATCTATTTCAACCCATATTTTTTGAATAGCTTCCCAAAGTTGATCCTGATTATGAACCCGATGCTCCAACTTTCTCAAATGTCTATCTATTTCATTCCAAAAATACTCAATAGGGTTAAAATCAGGTGATTGTGCCGGCCACTCCAATACATTAATATTTTTGTCATCAAACCATTGTTTTGTTAGGTTAGCTGTATGCTTTGGATCATTACCCTGTTGAAAAATAATATTATATTTATCAAGCCCATACCATTGGATTGTTTCCAAAAGGTCCTCATTTAATATCTGTCGATACAATTATCTATTCATGTTTATGTAAATACGTACTATATTACCAACTCCAAAAGAGGAAAAACACCCTCATATCATATTATTATACCCTCTAAATTTTACTGTAGGTTTAACATATTGATCCCAAAGCTGCTCTTTTGGTCATTTCCAATAATACTGACGCCTATCAGACCCAAAAATCATGATATTAGATTCATCTGACCAGATGACTTTATTCCAGTCTTCAATTGTTATATTATTATCAGTTTTTAATTTTTTTTGAATATCTACTGCAGTAAAACATTCTTCAATTAAAATTTGTTTAACAATAATCTGCTCATTTCGTTCAGTTAAAATTCGCAGGCATCTTATTTTAGGCAAATCTTTTAAAGAACCAGTAGTATTTATTTTTTTTTAGTTGGATAACACTAGATTGGTTAATATTTTCACAGGAAGCAATATAACGTGAACTATATCCTTCTTGAAGGAGTGTATAAACTCTATTTCGTTTTCCAAGAAACAAACAACCCATTTTTAAAAATTATAAAAATTTTAAATAATTTAAATGAAAAGAAGAAATAAAAAAAACTTTGCTCAATGAGAAAAAAAAATTGATCGATATTTTAATGATTTTCCATATGTAGTAACTCATAAGTAAACAAACGGTCATAAGATATACATTACTATTTTTGAAATTTGATTAGCAAATTAATTTATTAAGTGTAACATTTTATATTAAAATGTCATTTTTTAAGTAACTCTAGTATTCTATTTTTTGATATTTTTATTTCAAATGCCAATTATCTTTTGATCACGTGATATTGATAGTTACAGTTTTTTTTTGTGATGCAAATCTTTTGAGCGTCACTGTATCTTAAAGCTAAGCTAATTACGAAACAATATAATTAATGTAAATAATAGACGACAATCGATTTGAACCTACAATATAACTATCTGATGCTACTATAATATATTTTAGTAGGAATACTAGTGATTGAAAAATAAGTTGAAAATTATTTATGAGTGATACTACGTTAATTGCATGATTTGGAAATTTGTTGATGCGCTAACAAAATACGAATTGGCTATTTCCAAGAATAAAAAAAAGAATTTCTCTGTAGATAGAAATCAGATGTTTTATTCTGAATCGGGACGCTTGATTTACAGTCACCCCCTAATATAAATTAAAATAAAAATAAAAAATAAAACAAAAAAGATCCAAACTCACGCGTGAAAATAATTTAAACCCAAAAGAAGTGAATTTAAAAACAAATAGTATGTTTGAATGTTTGAATAAATTCCAAACATGATGATATTGATGAAACTATTTCCTCAACTATAATATTTTTTAAATTTGTAAATTGTAAATGTGTATGATTATTCAGAAATAGAGCAGTAAATTATTTGATTTCATTTTAAATTTTTTATGAATGAAGGAAAATGTAGTGATATTGGCAAAAAGTTTCATTATGTTAGTTACGAGGAGTGAACTATTAGAGATGTCCTTTTTGATAGTCCTGTGCGAGAATTCCTATCATTTATTTATCTTAAAGTTACTAAAAAGTATTCTCACAGCGATAATATAGCATTTGTATTATTTATTAGCCTAAGTTTTTAACCCTGATGATATCATTTCATGGTAATATATGGGAGCTGATCTATTAAAAGTGGGTTCTGAGACTATAAATTGATTTTGAGTAATTGATGTTTAAAAAATGTTACGTCACAATAAACATACTTGGCCAATAAAAAATTGCATAAAAATATATATTGAGTCGAATCAATTGATAAGGCAATACAA